TATATTTATGTACCATATTTAACATATTACTATATAGTGTATATAAATTTGTCTATAAATATAAAAATATATAAATTGTCTACTTATAAAATAATCTCATTTTACAGTTCTATGAACTGGTTATTTCTATTTGTTTAAAATAAAGGAAACTAAAAGACAAAATGGATAAGCGACCTACACAATTGGATATTTAATTGGAACTGTATTTGGAAATGAAGCTCAGTCGACCTCACTTTCAGGCAATGCCCTCGCTGTCAGATCATTTTTCTGAGTATTACATAGTTCGTTATAACATGAATATTTGGGGATATATTATTCACTTTGCATGGTCTTAGGTTACCAGTAAATGGTCTGGCGAAATCACGTAATATTGTCTGAAAGATACTACCCTTAGAAATGAGCTTATTACCTGGCAAGAGCTAGTCTACTTCTGTCCTATAAAGTTAATCCAATTAGCAGGAAAGCCATTAGATGCACTATTATCTACCCAGAGCTGTAACATTTTTCTCCTATCACAGATGCAAACAACTCAGCAAACTGTCTGCCAAGTGAAAATTTGGACCAGATCCTTAATGGTTCTGGGAGGTTCGTGTAGCCTCTAGCTCTCACTTTTATTGATTAATATGGGTTCTCTGCTTACATTTTTTAAATTATAGACAACATCTTAAATTGGATGGTCCCGTTAGTGTGGGGGCCCATGCATGGCTGACTGTTCCTCTGAGTGTGTTCGCCTTTCATTAACTATCTGGGGCATTTATAAACTGGTGTTGCCTTTCATTGTATCCATATTTACTATTCTTCTAATATGCACTATAAACTGCTGTGCCATAAAAGGATCCTAGTCATTTTATCACTAGTAAATAGTCTATAGTAGTGAGTCACATTGATTTATGAATCTGTGCAGTTATTTATTTACAGAATTTATATGGTGCTTTTTCACATGCTGTGTTCTGCAAGCACTAGAGCCTTCTGTGTGCTCCTGTCTTCCTGTGGCCCTGCCTCCTTTATCCAGCACCACTGATGAATTCACACTCAGAGCGGCTGGCCTTTTCTAAGATTTGCATTAATCAACATAAGGATAAAGATCTCTTCTCTTACTGGTAATTTTCCTTTATGTTTTTCTACTGAAAATGAGATCGACCTGCTTATTTATAGGGTGGACTTCTTTTATCTTTCCTGCATTTCTGTGGTATGCATCTCCGTGGAACCCAACCTTTATGTTTGGTCAAACATAAAGCACTAAACTTACATGGACATACACACGCAGACAAGGGTGCATAAATACACACGTGTGTCAAAATTTAAGGTGAGTGAAATGGTTAAGTCAGCATATTTTTCTTAGAAGTAGAAGAGGACCTGAATGAAACAGAAAACCCTTTCTATTTAATGTATATCTTTAGGCAAGAAACTCAAAGATGTTTATTTCCTCAGTTATAAAGAGCAGCTTTTGGGTAAAATGGGAAGGGTGGATTTAGGCATTTGAGACAGGATGGTAGGAGGCTAAGCAGTGTAACATTTCCATTATGTAACATTTGAAAGAGAATCTTGCTCCTTCTTACAGGCTGGGATATTTTGATGGGCACGCAACAAAAATGTGGTCAGGGTGGGGAGAAATTGTAATGACAACTTGTTTTCTTTTTTGAGACTACGGGCATGAGTAATTTTAATCACATTCGAAAGACTTACCAAAAATAATAACCAATGACAATGCCTGCTCTTGCAATATAAATATGACTCTTAAAATAAAACCTTTGAGGTGCTATCAGGTGCTGTAGTGGTTAAGGTGCTGGCCTCCCATGTGGTCGACTGTTGTTCAAGTCCTGAACCTGGCACATTGAAGCTCACACCAGGTGCATGTTGCATGGGATCCCACAACATGAGAAGAGAGTGGAGGAGAGAATGGAAGAGAAGTTATTGCAGCATGCCATACCCCCAGGGAGTGATTTCTTGCTTTCTGTCTGTCTCTCCAGCAAGTGCACACAATCTATAGCAAAAAAATCTCTCCAAGAAAATGAATAAATCAAATTAAACCTTTGAAAGTTTCCTGAAGACGAGAATATGATACCTTTATAGTTGGTA